TTTATTTTTCCATAAATATATAGAGCTAAATAAACTGTGCTGTAAACGCATGGAATCGTCGCCGCCTCTTCGAATGTCCACGCATCTGGTATTTTCCAACAGAAGTCTTTATCTTTCACAACAACGTTTGCTATACATCTAGAAACATATAAAAGAATAATTTTAATTTAATGTCCATTCTATGATATTACACAATCTAATTATTTTTGTAGCATTGTTTACTTAGTATCACGAAATCCCATTACGCGTTGGCCGTTGGCGTCAAATCCCACGTATTCCATACCAAATGGTTCACAGTCAGAAAATCGCCCATGCGAAATCGTTCGATTTACGAATTTGCCAGTTGCAAGTAATACATCTTTAAAATTGAGTGATGAATAAATCACATGTACTAAATCTTCACGGCAAAGCTCTGCAAACAGATTGTTTTCTATCCAACAGAATGTGTTTAGATCACCACGAACCTAAAGAAAAACAACAACTTTATATGATGCATGTAAAACAGAAATTTTAATGGGATATTTAAATCAAAATATATAAATATTAATTAATATCGATTTGTGGAATGTTTAAATAAACAATGAGATAAGAAACTTCCAACACTCTCAAAGCGAGTCTCGGTGTTTTAATAATATTTATAAGTGAATTTTATAAATTTCAGTTCAAGCAAACTGCGCGCCAAATATTTGTTGATCTTACAACACAGCTCTAAATTGAATCAAAAGTACGTAAGAGTTGTATATACCGTTTGGTAGACATGAGCGGTAGGTACAAGTTCAGCTTCCCGTTGTGGTAATCTTAAATGTCTATACGATCCCCAAGTCTTATTAGGTCGCAATACGTTAATTGCCATATCTTTTTGCAGCTGCTCTAAATAGAAGGAATCTTGTAGAGAAAATTTTGTAGCCTCCTCATCTTGAATAAGCACACCCCTAACAAGTTCTCCATCCGGTTCTTTTCTCAAACAGTTAATAAAACCCAATAAACCGCACTCAAAGTCTCCCTCTCCAACAATTATAGTTCTGCTATTCTTGTCAAGTTCTCTCTTATCGCTTACAAGCAACTTTAGATCCTCGAGCCAATTAAAATTATCATTATTTATATAGACAACAGCTCTGTTTTCTATCAAAACTTTCTTCTTCAGAAGTACAACCATTTCTTTATCAGTGCGCTTTTCAAGAATAACATTTAATTCGTATTGCTGCAAATATTTCTTGTAGTCAGTTATGTCGCATTTCTCGCGCGTCAACAGATAACCACCTTCTTTCAAAAATGACAACAGTCGCTGTAATGAGGTTTGTCGTTTGGTCAAAAGATTGAATCCGGTAACTATTAAAGCTTTGTCATCTATAGATTCTCTGTTCAAATCTACGATTGAAATGTTTTGTGTTAAATCTGATGAATTGAAATGATTCGGCGATGTTAATAGAATGATTTTTGCTTGTATCAATGGCATATCATTAAATGCCTCAAGGAATAATGAAGATGAAAGATATTCTAATGGAATATCATCGTCATCTTCCACTAGCTCAATGATCTTCATTTTGATGATTTGATGATCTTCCAACGCGAGTTGCGCCGATATTCGAATCGCTTCGTTTAAAGAAATCTTAGCGCGATCACAGTGAGCTATAAATACGTGTTCCTCGATAACTGCATCTTGTATGATTTTTCGGCGAGCGATCTGAGAGGCTTTAAGTCCTCGAATTTCTATTCCGCCAGCTATAATTGTGTCTATCTCTCTGTATATTCGTATTGGTAATTCTGTAACAAAATAATTCAAATAATACGCATTATATCAAAGAGATTTTCTTACACAATGTTCATGAATTTATATAAAACAATTTTTAGTAATTGAAAAATATTTACGTTTGTCTTTGTTTATCGTTGCTTCCAAGTCGTTAGCGTAATTGTCTCTTAGCTTCATTGCATGAAGCTCAGGATTGATCACTAATTTCTGAATACTTGTAGAAACATATAAATCCCTAGTATCACAACCGATAATGTACATCTGTAACATGTTATCCATAAATGTTACCCAATTGTTTCTCCAAATAATGTGTCCATTTTTGCCTGAAATAGATGCACTCTTTAATCCACGAAACAAACCGCTGTACTGATAACCGCGCAGTTTCAACTCTTTGTAGATATCTCGTGTGGTCATATGTTCTTCTTCAT